AACGTATAACACCTTTCTTTATTGCATCATGATTTTACATCAATATAAAAATTTTTAGCAGCTCTGTTCCATGTTATACGAAAACCCAGAATAGCATGCACACACGGAAACCACATATATTACAATTTCGATGTATAAATGTAGAGTTATGTCTCGTAAAAAAAACTTTCATACTTGATTTCCCCACATATTGTATACAGTATCGGTCATATCAATAGGACCCCGATTTCAAAGTGATATTTTGCCACTTTTGTTTATTTATTCATTTTTAAAAAATTTCAATTGAAATACGGTTCATTCTCTAAAAAAAACATACAAATAAAGCCAAGATTAAAACTTTGTTGAAGACTAAAAAAAATTTAACAAAATTGCATGCAAGTTTCAAACTTTTTTCTCAGAAGTGTTAGAATTTTGTTTAGTATACAGTTTTTAAGTCCATTCAATTTTAGCAATAATGTGCAAGTTCCAAGTGGCTCAAAATTACCCTTATTTTTTGATTATTATTTTTTTGTTCATTTGCTTCCATGTAACGAATAAACCGAATTTATTTGTACATGGAAAAAAACCGCAACACCTACAAAACCAAGCTTGTTAAAGCTTGTGTGGCATGTTAGCTTTGCATTCCAGCAACCTCGGCAGAATCATAGAGAATGTTCACCAAAGCCGGGCTAACCGTTTCGGAACAAAATATCTAGATTAAAAGCAGCAACTGTAGATAAGTTGCTTTTTTAAAGCAAAACAAATGGGTGATATATTGATCTCACATATATAATTTTATTAATATCTACGTATGTACATACAGTAACTCACAGAAGTGTTCGTTATTTAGTTTTTTTCACAATATTCAAAATTTAGTTTTTTTAGAAATATTTTGCGTTAACTTTTATTTAAAATATAGAACATTACCTACAAACCTACATAACGAACACGTCTGTGAGTGACCGTATATGTATTTATACATTAGAGTGTTTTTCTGTAAAAACAATATCCCCTTAAAAATGTAAGTAATTTGTATTGCTCTGCAATATAAACAATTTTTATTTACGTTATGTATGAATGTAATTCATTTACGTAAGGACTGAGTATATGTATTTGAATTAAATACTGTTTGACGGAATAGAAACAAATTCATTTCAAATCGTTTAAAACGAGTCATTAAAACATACTGTTCATTTGGTTCACTTTTTTAACGATACTATCTCGATAGTATCGATAGTTTTCCGGAAAATTGGTAAACGATTGATAGTTTGACAACAGCTATACTATCGCGATAGCATCGATAGTCTTTCCAGAAAATACGAAAACTATCGATGGTATGACTATCGTTAGTTTCCCACCTCTAAAAAGCTCTCGATTCACACTTGCAGTGCCACCAAATTACGTATATCGGTATCAGCGTTGCCGCGAGCTCAAAAAAAATAGTATCAGTTGCCAAGCAGAAAAAGTATCAAAGAGTATCAAAAGTACCCACAAAGTAAACACAACTGTTATCTTTTAAACTTTTATTTGAAAAACAAATAATAATTAAATTATATAGTTAAATCCATAGTTATTAAAAAATGTATATTTCTTTAACAAAAGCAGAGAATCTACATGCTTATTTTCATAATGAAAAACAAACTTATAGGGCCCTAAACCACCCAAAATTATTGCGGAACCAGAGACTTGTACAAGTAAATATTGTGGAGATTACTACACAATAAAATTGCGCAAACCTTATTGTGGAGAAACGTTACTCAAGTAAATATGTGTAAGAAATATGAATGAGCGTTGTATATTTTGATAGCTTCAGCTTTAAAAAGCAAAAAAAGAATATTATATTTTCTTTTTTCTACGCTTGTATCCATGTTTTACAGCATGATCTGGACACCAAAATCAAAACTAGACTAAAGATTGCACAGTTGTCGCCGTACGCAACTTAAATTATTGTAGATACAATAACACAAGCATGAGCAATATATCAAAATGATTTTGACTGTAGCGCAATAACTGTGCAATTTGGTACAAACAACCCCATACACCACACAAATGCCACACGCAATCCCGAAAGTGCGCAATGTTTTTGTGTGGGTTAGGGGCCCTATAACAGCCGCGTGTGCAAAGAAATTCCGGGTTGTATTTCCCTTAAATAGGTAACCAAATCAAATTTATAAATATGTATGTATGAAATTTTAAGACTTTCAATAACAAGAAAAAATTAATTAAACTCATTTCTGCCAGTCAAAAGTATCAAACTGGGGCGTTTGTGAACAAAAAAGTATTAAAGTATCAAATCTTAAAATTTAGAAAAAAACGTATCAAATATGATACAATTGTACAAAACGGCAACGCTGATCGGTACTAACATGCATTTCGAATTACACATCCAAAACGGTGTAGAGCACATTTTCGTTGCACTCATTTTGTTGTTTGGCAACATTTAAGGCTGGTATGCAGCTCTCAAGAAAACCATCAAGAAAAAAATTGCCATTATTTCGTGTGTGTGTCCAGCCTGTTGGCTCGCTCTTTCCTCAAGAAATAATGGACATATATTTCTGTTGCAAGCATGGGATACCTTGTGCTCTTTTTTCACAAAAAACTTTAGAAAACCGTAGTAGAAAGCGCAGCAAATTTCTTAAGAACTGCGTACTGCCTCAAGAAAATTTTACACAAGAAAATTTCTTAGGCATTTCTTGTACGTCATTTTGTATGGAATTTTTGCATTTCTTGAGAACTACATACAGGCCTTTACGGCAGAACGTTGCATATTGCTCGGCAGCAGTGTTGCCATTTTAGCCATTTTCCGGCTAGATTTAGCCGGTTGCGATAACAAACAGCCGGAGAAATTTCGGTTTAGCCGGAAGCCGATTTTTTAACCGTTTTGTAAAAAAAATTTGCCGTTTTTAGCCGCTTTTGCTATTTACCTTGTTTTCGTAAATTTCAAATATATACATATGTTTCCATTTTTGGCTAAGCGATTCAAAATCTGTTAGAAATGGCTACTAGCCTTATCGCGGAGAAAATTTTCATGTCAGGCAGGGTTATATAAAATTGGGCCGATTTCGCTTATTTTTATTTTAAACGAGAATATTTTTTCAAAAGGCCATAGCGAGGATTATCTTCATAAAATGTTTGTTGTGAATGACTTAAATTTATGAGGTTTTATTCGAAAACTTAGAAAATAACAAATTGTTTCACTGGATTTTTTTAAACCAACTTTTTTTGCTGAGAACTTATTAAAATTCCAAAAACCTAAGGCCAACTTGAATTAAAGGACCAACACTGAAATGCTTCAAAATTAAACTAAAAGAGCACAAATTTCTATGTAAAACAAAATCCTCTGGGAAGACAATGGGTTTGTTCGTCGAAAATCCAGTGAGAATCATCACCCAAAAATATCAGTAAGAAAAAATGCACCCAAATTCTCTCTGAAGTAGAGAAACTTGCAAATTTCTGCACGAACGCAAATTTGCAGGAATTTGCAAGGTTTTCTTCCAGCTAGTGTCCACGGTTGCATTTCAAGCAAAAGAAATTTGTATAGACATTTTAATATTCCTTCAGAGAGGATCTACAAGTATATTTCTTGCTAGTTCGACTTTCTTCAACATACGTTTCAATTTCTTTGTCGGAGTAACTGCATTCCGATTACCGATCAGCCAGGTACCTTCCAAATCATTGGAATTAACTAAATTATTAAAGTGAACAAGTAGTTGCTTACGTTTTTCATTTTAAAATCGCTCATGTTTGTAATTTTTTCAATTTAACGACCTTGTTTATTCAAATTATGGTCGACAAATTTACCAACCATGTGCCACAATCATATGGTTTTCCTCATTGCAAATTCTTGCTGGCAAAACTTTTTCTAGATTGAATTGACAACTTCTCTCCAAGAACTAGTCTTTCTACTTATGATTTATTTAAATAAAACATGTGAAATTTATTTAAAACAGTTAAGCCGTTTTTTTTTTGCCAATTTAGCCGGTTGGTCCAGAAATATCTGGCAACACTGCTCGGCAGTACTTACTGTAAAGAGTGAAGGCTTTTTAAACGCTGGTTGCGGGAGAGCATCTTTAGCAGAGAAATGTTTGTTCAGAAGGGATTGAGTGGGCTGCTGAGCGTAACTGAGCAAAAGACAACTATTCCCATTTCCTTTTTCTGGCGGTATATACTGGGAAAGTACTAAAAGCCCTTTTTATGGCTACGGAAGTATATAGTATAAATGCATTCGATTTCATGTATTTATCTCTTTTACTTCGATGAACTTTCTGAGAGGCACATCAAAGCATTATAAACTATACATACTTTTATTATAGCAATATATGTACAATACATACATACATGGGCGTACGCAGGTAAATCCCAAAGTTTCATTGTAGGTTTTTTCTATGCATTTCATAATCAATTTCCAATAAAAAAAAAATTATGCAATCAATTAAAACTTAAGGGTCTTCACATTCATGTCCGTAGTTTTCGTAAACTGCTGGTTAATACTCGATAATTTTATCAACTGTGAACGCCCTTTTCAGCCACTTTTATTATTCTGATAAATTATGAGTATAAACAGCTGATTGGTGCTTTTTTCCTATACAAAAAATAAATTGTAGCAGA